TGCACTAACCCTAGTCTAACACTAACCCTAGTCTAACCTTACACTAACCCTAGTCTAACCTTACACTAACCCTAGTCTAACCCTAGTCTAACCCTACCCTAACCCTAGTCTAACCCTACACTAACCCTGGTCTAACCTTAGTCTAACCTTACACTAACCCTAGTCTAACCCTAGTCTGACCCTACACTAACCCTAGTCTAACCCTACCCTAACCCTACACTAACCCTACACTAACCCTGGTCTAACCTTAGTCTAACCCTACCCTAACCCTACACTAACCCTAGTCTAACCCTACACTAACCCTAGTCTAACCCTACACTAACCCTAGTCTAACAATACACCGGCACCAAAAAACTCAGGTTTGTTTTTGCTATTTGTATTTGTGCCTCTATGACACTTGCACATGTTTAAACACACATGCTGCTCGTCATTAAGCAACCGCACGAACAGTATACGGTAAACGGACTGTACTTACTAAGAGCTCTTCAAGTCTTCTGACCACTCAAAGAGTTTTTACACTATTTCACATTCACCCTTCTACAAACACATTCATACACTGATGGCAGAGGATGCCAATACACTACTCCCATTTGTACACATTCACAGAAATTTGGGGTTGCGTGTCCGACTATATTGGATTCAATCAAACCAAACTAGTCGCCATTTAGATTTCAAAGCCACAGCTTTGTACTAGGATGTGAACTTAAACAAACATATACCACCTATGTTCACCTAGCTGGTATGCATATTTCCTCCCAAAGCTGGAAAATGTGAGACACAAATTAAACACTATCCAGGGGTGCAGGTAAGGAGACAAAACAGTCGTTACAGTTCTCAGAACTTGTAGTCCTAAAGGATACTTTTGTTATTCTTATGTTTTCATGCCAAAACTATTTATGGAGGAGTGAAGTCCTTTAGTAGTTAAAAAAAAAAAAAAAGTATCTGCAGCCTGTTTCCCATGTAAACCTGTGGTTCTCTTTTCTTCTGCAGCTAAACTACTTTGGTGTACCCTACTTTTGGGTTTTCTTTGCATCGTCTTTTTGATTTTCACAACTAACAAAACCGATGTACAACAATTTGTGACCGTCTTTGTGAAATACTCCACAGCAACATTTTAAACAGCGAATGTATCTAATGGCTGCCACAAACAGTCAGGTAGAAAAGCGTCCTCTGGGTGACAGAGGGATTAGTGCCGCAGGTTTTCTCTCAGGACCCGAGGAGTCGGGCCACAGCCTGAGTAACTGGATTACAGACCTTTTTCTCATTTCAAAGGGTTGTGAACTCAGCAGAGGTCTTGCATGATGAAATCAAAGTGGCAGCTGAAATAGGAGGGAGAAAAACAACAAGAGTTTCGCAAAAGTCTCCTGGCATGGACCACGCAGCTAATGAGAGATACAAAATCAATGATCTTTGATTTGCCATGTCACTGGCGTCCCTTTAAGAGACGCATGAATTCATAAAATGATCCTCAAAGCAAGGGAGAGCATCATCTGGAGAGCTGAAATATCTCAACAACAACAACAATAAAACATATTCCAACTTAAAAAAAACTACAACAGCACCACACCTCTTTTATGACTACCTTTTAACAAATGTGTGCATATAAGCTATGGCAGCAGCTCAGAGGGGAGTCGAGGTGGAGCCCATTCCATCCAGTACCCTGTGGTAACTTTAGGGGATTATTTCCAAATCCTTTCAAATGAACTTTCCATCTCAGTGCCTCCTCCTCTGTCTCAGCCATTCCAACTGTCCGACCATTTCTACATCACTTTCTGCACAAGCTTGCACAGAGCCCAGGTCCAAACAAAATGCCTGTGAGAAATATGGTCAGCACACGTCAGGAAGAAGGAGGCCCGAGAAGGTCAAATATTAGGAATACACTTTTATAACAGACAGAATAACTGTATCAATAAAACTCCTTTTCATAATGTCTCTATAGAATCAATGACAATCAGTTCAGCCCTACATTCCATGTTTACAGACTAAAATCACAAGGTTATCTTCTGGCCTCACAGTCCCTTTAAACTGCCGAATCACGGATGCATTTCAAAGTTTTTTTCTTTTTTTTTCTTTTTAGATTTAAGCAAAACAAAGTTCAAGCTGAACGGGCTCCATATAGATTTTCCATTTACCTCTGCATGAAAGAACACAACCCCGACTGGTGCCAAGACTTAAGTGAAAAGAAAAGTAGGGCTAAGGTCAAAGATTCCCGGTTGCCAAATACCCCTAAGAATAATAAATACGTTGTGTTATTATGCATGTCAACTTCACTTATTCAACTTACTTATGTTTCATGACGGTGGAAAAAGAAAGGGAAACAAAACAAATGAAAAGTTTTGTGAAAATCAAATAAACTATTAAGATTACTGTAGATATCTTAACAATCGGGCTGCACAGAGCTTTACACCTCCAGCTAGAGAGGCTGAGAGAGCTGCACCTTTGTAAACATTGTGCTGTGATATGCACGGGGTGACGGGGTGAAGTGATCTGCATGGGGTGAAGTGTGGGCCGTTTTGTTCAGGAGGTCAAAGAAACAGAGCTCTGAAGTGAACTGAGCTCACTGAAGCAAAGTCGATGGCAGAGATACCTTACACACGCTCAAAGAGCTGGAACACAAACAGCCACAGTTTGTAAATTAAACCCAGAACCACCCCCTCCACCACACTCACACACAAGCACACCGACGCACACACTCTTCCTCTCTCTCTCTCCACCATGTATGTGGAGGAAGAGAAGAGCACATTTTAACAGCAGCTTGAAGTCCAAACTGTTTTGTTGTGACTGCTTCCTGTATGTTCTATCATTAAATCTTACCAAAAATAAAATAAAGAAATACAATTCTTTTTAAAACTACTTCAAATAATCTAAAAGTTGCCATGTAAGCACTTCAGATACAATAGTAGCTTAGCACTCATTTCCATTTTTCATACAAGCAGGCGAGTTTTGTGAGATTTTTTGCACCTCATTCATCCATTCAAACCCTGTGCATTATTATAGCCTAATCAACGCACGCTGCGCCTTTTCCAAGTGCTGAAACTGCCTCAACAAATGCATGAGGCGAAAGAAAGAAGAGGAGAAGGAGGAGGAGGCAGAGGAGGGGAGGAGGTCCGGCTGGCCTGAAGAGCTTTTCTCCTGCTGGAAAAACTCCATGCACGGAAAACTGTGTGTCTGCAGGGCAAGAAAGATTTTCTTTTTATTAGGAAAAAGATTAAAGAAAATGTTTTGTTTGTTTTTAGATTACTTTCAACATAGAATGTTATACTGCATATATTTAAATTTTGAAGCTTGTAAATAAATGCTTTAAAGTCACTTGTTTCACAAAGGCTTAAGGTTTTTAGTTTTTTTACATTTCCTGATTTAAAAAAAGATTAAGTTCTATAATAAGCAAGTGCTTAAAGATAAGATACCTCAACATAAACACAGGGGCTGTTCAATGTAAATGGAACATAAAAAAAATCCTTTACCACTCAGCCTGTCATGTGTTTTTTCTTCTCCTTCTCCTCTTCCAGTGAAATATTTGAGACCCGAGCAGCAGCAGATCGTTCCCACATGCTTCCCTGCCGCTCAGCTCTCCAGAGGTGTCAAGCCAGCCTGAAAGAATGAAGTGCCTCCCTATTGTGCTACCCAACTATTATGTGCTTAACATTTCCATGACAAAGATGCCACTCGACTTCTCCTCCATCCATTCAGCTGGAGGGCCCTTGTCCCCCTTCTAATAAAACATTTTGAAGCCAATCATTGATTTAAAGCCCCTATAAGGAGAGCAAAGAGAGGGCTGGTATGATATGCAATATTTCATGAAAATAATATTCATACCAGCACACGTAATACCGGTACAGGACATGTTCAAATAAAATTAAAAAGCTGGAAAATGTACCGTACTATCCTAGTAATTTGGAGAAATGTTGCCAAATCGTATTTAATTTAAGAAGGAGTCAAATCTGTAATGTATAGGTCTGTCAAAATAAACAAGATTAAAGCTGTGTCCTAACAAAGTCTTTTTACATTTTTAAAATAATAAACACCAGTGTATATAGTTGTATAATTGTGAATTTTAAGTTGGGAAAAATGAATTCATTAAGTCTGAATTTGAATATTTTTTCAAACAGTTATGATAATAAAAGTATTGATACCACATTGCAGAGGTTGTGTGTGTGTGTGTGTGTGTGTGTGTGTGTGGGGGGGGGGGGGGGGGGGGGGTGACTGGAGGGTTGTTGTTGATTTATGGTGCCAGTTGCTTTTGACAACAGCCGGCTAAATCAAGACATAGCAGGTCATTAGGCTATCAGTCAACAGTGGAAGCTGACGTGCATTTTAAATGAGACGTTGTATAATGTACTGTAGTTACAGACACAGAAGTGTCAATGTGTCAATGTTTATATGTTTAACATCTGTATTGAGGCACCAGTTGATGCACGATAAGGGACAAACATCTTTAAATAAACAAATAAAAATCCCTCTCACATACACACACTCCAATTCCAAAAATAATGCTCCTTTCAGTGAAGGGAAGTTGTTTGTGTAACTGTAAAAGCCCTATTTAAAAAGTATTGCAAAAATAAAACTAAGGTGCACATATACAGCACATTAATTCTGCCGTTTTGGATCATAATAAGATACTTTCTACTTATTGTCACTCTCATTTCATACACATTAATTTATAACCATTTACACATTTTAAAGGGGTGAACCAAAGTGTGTTAACTAAAGGTTCACACACTCCTCTAATTTGATTTTTTTTACGTAATTAGGTTGCACACATTAGGCAAGTTAACCAAAATGATGTCATTTAAAGGGAGAACAATTAGAGTTTTCTTCTTTCACCAGCGACAGTGCTTATGAAGAATGATCCAAAAGCTAATCTTCACTGTACTTACTTATTATAAGATTTGTTGTTACCGTTTAACACAGTATGCGTTACAAATTCAGTATAAAGCATTTCAGTTCTATTAACTGGCAAAGCATAGGAAGTGAAAAACAAAGAAGTCACAGTCAAAAAATTATATCTTCAAGTTTCCTTTATGCCTTCTATAAAAGTATATCAATAAGGCAATCATACAGTGGATTTAGACATTTCTTTCTCTAGGCTATACACAGTGAATAAATCATCTCATAGCCTCAAACATAGAGGATTCTCTGGAAAAAATCTATAAAGGCTATACACATTATATACAATGCACAGTATCTTTGAAGAGAATACAGTCACAAATAACTTCCCTTTAAAGCTGGAATTCAGTCTTTTATTCACATGATGAACATTTGGATGTAACTAGGTGGCATGTAATAAATTACTGTTTCACTTTAACTCCTCCTCTATTTACACATTTAGAGATTCCAGCATTAAATACTTGTAAATCAGATCATCCTGGTGCCAGGTGGCAACAGTATCATATAAAAATAGTTCATATCTTTTAAAACAAAACAAAAGGATTGGCAGTGCAGAGCATAAACTGATTAAATGTTGCATTGTTTCCAAAACACTGTGTCTCTATCCCGACAGCTTTACTATCAGAGTCTGTGAGAGAGAGAGGAGACAATCTAATTTAGCTTATCACATAAGCAAAGCATGTGGAGAGCCGTGAAGTGTTGTGGTTTGATAAGAGAAGCAGCCTGCAGCTCAGGCACTTTCAAAACAGATCTTTCTGCTGTGATTTGCATAGAAAATATCCTGATTTGATATCCTTCAGCGTTTCAAGTCTTTTTCAAACCTCCCAAATAAGGCTTTCGGTGAGTCTCTGAAGCTCTAACCTTTTCAGAAGAAGCAGGTCAATGAGTGACAAAAGTTTAGATTGCCTTTTATCCGGACAATAGCCAGGGCAGATTATGAACCCGGGGACTAAATGAGGGGCAATAGAGCCAAAATGGATGCCAAGAGGGTCAAAACACAGTGGGTTGCAGCAGGGGGAGAGGCTCCGCTCTCCAGCTCCTCTGGATAGTCCGGATCCGAGGGGTCGTCGTCATAATCTGGATCCTGGACATACTCGGAACCGCTGCCCTCCTCTTCTCTGACCGGAGAGTCGAAGCAGAGCGCCTTCATGCTGCTCTTCACAAACTCACAGATGGCCCTCTCCGTGCCGTCACACATGCAAGTGTCCAGCTGCTGACCTTTGGGGATTTTACGCATGTTCGCGATCACATTCCTACATGCGTTGGTGCAGATCGCCCCGCTAAAAAGTTTCCCGCAGTGGTTCAGATAATCGTGCATGGTGGAGCTGCACTGCTGGTCCCTCTCGCACTGACGCCGAGCCTCCGTGCAGCCCGTGCTGGTAGTCCTGGGCAGGCACGGCTCGATGGCCCGCTTGGTGCTTGTGCACAACGGATCGTGAGCACAGCTGCAGTCCTCTAGAGCCGGTCCGCTTTTGGTCAGATTGAGCTGCACGAGCGAAGAGATGCAGTGGCTCGGGCACTTTTTCCTGTCGCCGTTCAGCACGGGACCACATGCACGCGTGTAGTGTTCGTACGCGTAATTGCACTCGGGCTCGGCTTGGCAGTTCATGATGGCTTGCCAGCATATCAGCCGCCGGCCGTGGGACGGCGAGGCCACGGAGGAGTACCCTAAAAACAAAAGCACACTTACAAGAGGCCAAATAGATCTGCAGACGCTCTTAGTCCGTGCGCCAGAGCTTGCCATTGTTCTGGCTGCAAGAAAAGGAAATTCAGAGCAGTGTCATGTGAAACTTTTACTCTACTTCCATGGATCTACACTGCAGTCTTATTTATTCCGGGGCAGATGGTGTGTGATAGGCCCGTGTGTGGGCGTTCAACAGGCTGGCACTGCGCTGTGTAATCCCGGCTCCATAAACCCGTCAGCGCTGCCCATTTGAGCCGGATCCTTCCGCGAAGATCCCGCTATCCATACATGATTTTGCTGACAATTCAAATAGGAAGTCTCACGGACAAAGGAGACGCCAAATGAAAAGTTCTCCACAAGTTTAGGAGAGTTTCTGCAGCGTCTCATTCCATCGGAGTAAATCAGAGTTCTTGTAAAAAACTGCCTCCAGCTCAGCGATTCCGTCTTTCCTCCTCTCTGCTAGCGGCTCTCCACCAGAAAAAGAAACCGGGCAAGTTCCGAGAGCCCTTTGCTGGACTGCGCGTGATCCTTTAGCAGTCCTTGTGCGCACGGGAGTGCAAACAAACAGTGCATGGAGAAAAACAACAACCCTTGTGGGTCGCAAAGTGGTCCTCTACTCTCTCCCCTTTGAGCATTTGTCTTTCTGTTCCTCAGCCCCCCTCTCCACACATCAGAGAGGTGATCTCATTGGTTGGCCACTTGTTGTGGGTTTTACGTATGAGGGGCGGGAGTTGAGGGTGGGAGGAAGATAGGTTTGGGAAATACAAGGTGAAGTTAGATACAAGTGTTGGAGATAAGATTTAGTGCAGAGGGCAGTGCTCTTCTTTTATTATATTGGGATTTAATAAAAACCCTAAGTTTAATAGAACTCTAAAATCATATTAGACATCCCGACAGTGTGTGAGTGTGATATTTGAAAGAAAAAAACACTGTGATGGACAGATTTATCATAGCACTATCTGAAATATTGTTGAATCATGTCATGTAGAATAATAAGAACCATTTGGCTTTTTTTTTTGAATGGCTTGCAGTGGTGAGAAGTAGCAACAATACTTTGTTACACTACTGAAGAAACATTTCCAGTTCTCTTTATTTACCTTTCCACCAACTTTATTTTAAAAGGTTTATTTTGGGGCTTTTATGCCTTTGAGATAAAACTGTGGATATAGAGTCGGAAATCAGGGTGACACGCGCATTAATCACTAGGCTATCAGCGTCCTTATTTCCATCAAATTATGATTTTAAAACCCACCATATAACATCATTTTGTACTCGTTCTTACATTTTCAAAATGAGCATTTCATTATTAAGCTTGAATGAATTTGAGGTTTATATTTGATGAATTTTGTATTTTTCCTAATTGGACTACGCCTTCCAACATCCCGACTGATTTCAACCTTAATGGATGGGTCAAAAAAACATAGCCCCACGGCCTCCCTGTTTTGTATATACATATCCTATAAATGAGTGAAACTATAGACCATCAATAACTGATAAATGACTCTGTTACACTGCTGTGCAGTAATAAATGGAGCTCCACAGCGTCATGCCTGCAGAGCTAATGATGTGTGCAGCATCCTCTCTGATAATTTGATCAGTGGATGCTGTTAGCTCTTCCCCAGTAGAGCAGTTGAGTAGAAATTAATTGTGGTATAAGAGGTCACTCCATGATCATCATTTAATATAATTACTCATTAAGACTAACGTTCCTCATGATTATTACACTTCATCATCTGCTGTCAAATGTCAAGCTGGTGAATCAGAGCCAGGCACTCTTTCTGGGCAGTGTCTTGCCTTAACATGTGATCTGGTAGAAATCCTGCCCACTTTATTCATATTAGTATCATTTTAACCACAGTTTAACACAGAGAGTGGTTTTAAGAGCTGCTATGTTCGCATCATTTACAGATGTTTGGTTTTGCAGCTGAGCAGACTGAAGCAGGTGTTGCGTTTGGAATTAGAAATGTGAGCTGATATAAAGACATCCCTCATTTTTTCCATGAAGTGTTTAAAAAAAAAGAAAAAAAAAGAATCCTATTTATGAAGACAGCCTTGCAGGACGGTTGATTGAGACTAATAACCAAAACCTCTGCTTCCATTGAGGTGGATTATCACAGCCGAACTGTTCTCATAAAATAAAGTAGAGTAGATGTTTTTTTTTTATTTACTTCATACTGAGAAAAGGAAATCAAATCTGAGTTTAATATGTTCTTTGTGTTGTGGAGAGATGAAATTTGTGAGCAAAAAAGTAACAGAAAGACAGAAAGAAAGAAGCAATGCACTGTCCAAATAGCCTTCCTGTTGTCTGTGATTGACAACTCAGATTTTAATTGTTTATTAAAAAACATCATTTCCACAGTCAAATAAACCCAACTCCTTAATGGAAAAACAAAATAAAAGTGACATTTTATAGACTGCAAATGTGACTGTATACTGGTGTCGTCAGCTGTCACACAGAATCAATCAGAAGGCTATTACGTCTGAAATGTTTTCAACAGATTATCAAATGTATTCAGGCTTTTTTTCTGTCACTAAATATGTCAGCAGACGCAGTTATTGGTTCAGACGGTTGCCCTTAAGATTTGCAGGCATTTTGCTGGTTCAATCAATGCTGCCAACATTTATCTGCAAACACTATTACAATCTACAGTATGTAAATATGACATTAAGTAATGGCTCAGGTGGCTGTTAGGAAAATCTAAATTTTAAAAAACTGTAGCTTTACTTATAGGAGCCCTAAATGTGTGTTCTTATGTATTTTTGATTTATTTTTCTCTTTACATCAAAAATGTAAAAAAAAAAAAAGAAGAAAAAAAAGTTTTGACTTGACAGCTTCTTTCTGAGAGATGAGATATATGCCTGGATCTCATCATCAAACTGACACGTGTGTGTGTGTGTGTGTGTGTGTGTGTGTGTGCGTATGTGCGTGTGTGTAAAATGATAGCCCACATGTTGACACATGAGCGAGAGGAGGCAGTTTAGCTCTGGAGGCTTGATGTGGATGAGGGAGCTGGGGAAGGAGAGCAGCGAGGGCACAAAGGCTGTTTGTGTTTCAAACAGCGTTCTGATCTCAGGAATGTACCTTTAGGCCACAGCCGTGAGCTTCCCGCTGCAAACAATGCACTCAATGTCAGTTACGGCTGGCTAGCACTGACGCTGCTGGCGCTACTCCAAGGTCCCAACTCGTTGAGAATGATGGATACTGGGAACCAGATACCTCAGGAGACCTTCTGCTGCAGAAACAGAGAGAGCTTCCACAAAAGAGCTCCAAACACCAACAGCTTCATTGTTTCAAGAGCTTTTAGCACAACTGTAACAAGAAGCAGACCTTTCAAGCAGAGAATTAACTCATTCATCTTATTTTACGAGTGTGACTTAAGCATAATTTCTGCCTTCAGAGTCCATAAAAATTTGCATAATTTGAAAGTTATTTAACCTCAGACTTCTAAGAGAAATTCAATAATTAAAGACTAATCAGCAGAGAAAACCTTCAAACACAGATGGAAAGAAGCCGATCAAATGATCCAAACCTTTTGTCTCCACCAACAGCTGTATGTGTAAACCAGATGTGCTGCACTGAGAGCTGGGTGTTGTTACTTTGAGGGCTCCATTAAACCTTCAGTTCTAGAGGCAACGCTCCAATTAAGGGACAAACATAATGATATTAAAACAATCCCCTGATGGTATTAAGAACAGGCAGAGCTTTCAACTGAAATAACTATATGCTTACATTTTAGAAACACGAGCACTGCCAACAGGTGAAATGCTTGTTTTTTTTATGTGAGTAGCTTAGTTCTGCATGTTTAAATTCATTTTGCCTAGACTTGTGTAAATAGTCTCTTTTTTTTTAAAATGTCTGTCTAAAATTAAAAAAAACTTTTACAATTAAAATGGCTTTATGAAATATTCATAGATGACATTCTTTTATAATTGAGACTTCACTATAAAAAGGCCAAAACAACAACAACAGCAAAACATGATTTATTTACACTTTGAAAACTCCCAAAATAAATCCATCCATCCACAGCCTCTCAGTTGAGCTCAGGTTGATAAAGTTTCTGTATTTCACCTGATTAGGTTTGTGTGTGTGTTTTAAAAAAGTTTCTCATGCCTTGCTCTATAGACTACAACATTTCTGCTGCCACATTTTTTAATGTTTACCTCACAGATGTTGACTGGACGGCTGCTGAGGTGTAAAAAAAAAAAAAAAAGTCTCTGTGAGGACTTGATCAGAAACTGAGCGAGCTGATTGAGTCCCAGCAGAGCGTCTCAGCACGCGCAGTCTGAAGGCGCAAATATCAGAATACAGGAAATGAGTTGGCAGGAACTATCCATTCAAATTACTTCCTCTTTGGGATCTCAGAGAAGTGATAAAGGCAAGTGATAAGTTATTTGGAACAGAACCAAACAAGATTAAGGATTCATTTCCTTCCTCATGTCTGCCTATTAATTTGTCTCTGATTGGTCCGTCCTCTTCCGGGGGATTTGTGTTGATTTGTTCGGTTTGGAACGCACAAGTGACAGAGTGACGCACGAGTGATGAACTGTAACAGTTGCTAGATTATGGAAGAACGCTATAAATAAAGCATCTATTTTTAGTTCTTCCGCTGTGTTTTAGCAGCAATAGTCATTGATCCCTGGACTGTGGGACTTGACTTATGGGACAGTGTAAAAGGCAAAATCTCCTGCAGCTCTTAAGAAACAACACATTGACTCCTTGACAAACAATGAAAGCATTGCTCAAATTGACTTTTCTTTGAACCAAATATGAGACACACAAGCCTACTTTTTGTGGAAAACAAACTGTCAAACTACCTTTCCTGTTGTGCTTTAAAGTACCTACACACCCCTTCTTTTAAATCCTGCCAATTGGGTTAAATGTTTAATGAAGTGTTATGGGGGGCGTGTTCCTTTAATCAGTAAGATTAAAGTCATCCATCATGTCAAATAGGCACAGATCCTGCTGACCCTTTTACACACGGTCCACTGCACACCACCTTCAACAAGAATCAGTATGATCTGATAAACAAACTTGGACTAAAATCAAAAGAGAAAAACACACTCGCAAAATATCCCCATTCTCCAAATTGAGCAGACATTGTGTTTGAGTCAGTGGTTGGTCTTAGCGACAACTTTAGGTGATGCCAATAATGGTTCAAGGTAGGGGATGCTCTGGTGGCCTAGAGGATAATGTGACGATCATGACGCACAACATCACCCTGGTAGTCAGTGTTCTAAAGAGGCTGCAGCATCCCTAGAATTTAAGAATAAAAAAATCCTTTAATTAAGTCAATAAAAGTTGAAACTTGAGAAGTCTTCCAACATCCACACTTTGACTTGGCTTTATCTGTGGTATCGGGGAATTTTGGGGGGAAGGGAAAGATGTTTGCATTTTTTTTTATCTTATCCAATACTGTTGCATTTATAGGCTGCACTCATTATCTGATTTAAAGGCATTTCAATACATTGAAGTGTCTTAGGACAATTCCAAGTGTTTTATTGACTATAAGTAATCTTCAGAGACGTCAGGTCATCTATCATTCTGTGAAAAAAAGAGAGCTATACAGTAACTGCTATGAGCTGTAGAGTAACAACTGGAAGCCATTTGTACAATATGTTGGATAAGGTTTTATCGCAC